AAAAAATTTTAATATTTAAAGTACTATAATGCTTTAATTTTTACTTTTACTGTATTAACTATCCAACTTTCTTTGTTTACGTTATTTTTACCAACAATGACTTGGAATTTTGGAATTAGTAAGTGGTGGGGCACCCCTACCACACTCAGATTGATATAAAGTTAGAACTTTGCATACTTAAAGACACGGTGGTTGCGATCAGAGTTGAAGACAAGTGACACACCCAAGCCCTCATGCCCTAATTGTCAAAATCGGTTCCCTCTTTTGTCTGCAAGTGTTGCAGATAATTACGACTTTAATATGTCCACTGTTAGGATAATAAAGCTGTGGACCGAGTCACTAATGAATAGATTGGACTCAAGTTCAATTAGGCGATAGGCTTCAATTCGATTCCAATAGAGTTCAAGTTACGTTCAAACTTTTCATACTTGAGACTCAAATTTGGAGATACAAGCTTGCCCCCAAGCTACCCTTCTAAGTTTAGTTCAACTCAACTCATTTGCAGTACAAATTGATTAGTAAGTTAAAACTTTTGGTTAGGAAATTCAATAGGATCAGAACTGATACCCGGTAGCAGCAAAGAATGCAAGAGGAATCATCATCTCCCACCCATTGATGCTCATGCTGCAAGAATAAGTTTCCATATCATGAACAGATGAAACATTCCAAATTGAGAGATTAATTTGACGAATTTGGACCAGAATGTGGTACTACTGTACAAAACTTTATGCACAAATGCATAATTTCACATTTTTGAAACAGAAAGAGAACATTAAGAAGAACCACATCACATACCAGACAGACAAGGCATCGACAGCTAGTGTAGCATTATGTAAGTATCCAGTCATCAATACCAATATCCTATAGTACCAATTTTCCAAACTGCAAAAGAATAAATCCAAAATAAATAGCTTAATTCAATGATGCAGTAAAAATTCTGAAATTTTGACCAAGTCAATTGCCTGAAATTAGAACAGATTGTGGTACCATAACATGACTCCTGAAGCAGCAGAGAGCTTAACAAATTCCCAGAGACCTGAGAATGCTTGGATTGAGTAACCTTTCCATGTGGTCGGGCAGCCTCCGAGCACAGTGTAGCCGTAAAGAGCAAAAACATTGACCCACCACGATAAGTCCAGCGCGACGGCGGCACCAACGGCGCCGAAATCTAGAACGTACACGAAAAGCCAACTCGTCAACACATTGATCCCTAGAGCCACCAAAGAAGTGTAAGCAATCACTGGAACCTTGATCTGGCTCTGCAAGAACCTCTGCAGCGGGAACATAAAAGCGAAGCTGAAGTGAAGCGGAATCATCCAGATGGCCAACACCCCCGACAGCTCCGCTACGTCGTCGGACTGTCCGAGCAGCTTCAGTAATGGAGTGGCAAAAATGTAGAACGGCAATAGCAAGAAGCAACACAGGAACAGAACAATCCATGACCTCTGCATGTATACTCCCAACATGTGGTACTGCTTGGCGCCAAAGGCTTGACCGCAAAGCGTTTCCAACGCGCTTGCCATCCCCAACTATTTGCGCAATTGCCCAACAGAGAAGTTTCATACCAAGAGATAAAATAAAAACCAAACTTTAAAATAAATAAAAAAAACAGGGATAGGCTTTATACCAGAAGGCCGAAATTGAAGCCAACGATAACAGTGTTGGCTATGGAGATGGCGGCGAGCTCAACTTCACCGAGGTGGCCGGCGAAGGCTTGGGTGACGATGTTCATCGAGTATGCGGCAAGCCGGCTGAAAATGGAAGGTCCAACGATGACCCATAACTTCTTTGATTCAATCCAGAAACTTGATCCCAAGTCCTTGTTTTCTGGTTCTCTCAACAGCGATTGACTGATGCCGTCCCCATCTCTCTCAACAGTCCCCATTGGAGATTAGCTTGAATAAACTTGGATGCAAGGGAGAGGATATATATAAAAGTACGTGAGCTTAGAATGACGGCAGCAGTAGAAACATACACGGGAGGAACACAATTTGGATGGGTGCATTGCAATTCTTATGGAATCTTCAGTCAAATTTGAAAGGGAGTTGGACTTGGACTGTTTGGTGGGAGATAAGCATGGATTTTTTTTTTTTCTTCCTTTATTGAGAAGTACATTCCATGTTAGAATTGGATATTCAGGATTTTTTCTCTTTTGGTCATAAATATTTAAGATTTGTTTGTGTAAATATAACCACCTGGTTTACGGTAGTTACATAAAGAAAAGATCATTACTACTCCAAGCCTTTTCTGACGTTTTTTATGCCGCAAAAACAAGATATAAATCTCTCCTATCCATTTGACACTATTACCCCAACCCAAAACCTCTGACACATTGTTACAGAGCAGTTAATGCTAATCTATTTAAATTGTTGGCTCCCTTCTGACTTCATCACTCTGCCTTCTAGATCTTGAGGTACGTGGTGACTAAACTAAACCTGTTAAAGTATGGTGAAGACGTGTTGCATTCCTCATATATTCAACCTTAAGTCCAATTATATTTATAAGTACAAAGGTAGGCAACAGAATTGGCTTAACTGAAGCCTAGCTAAGTGCCTAATGAAAATGAGAATAAAAAGAAATCAAAGCTGTCCCTGATTATAGTGATATGAGAGCATTCCTTTTTTTATTTTTTATATATGAAACGATGCACTTTATTTCACATATAAAACACAGGAATTACAAAGCTCAATTAATACAGGTAGTAGGCTTATGTCCTGTCACTAATTGGGCGCGATACCCATGGGAACCTCTTCAATCCAATATTCATCAGCCTCTGCATGAAGGGCACGTTTTGCTAATTCATGAGCAACAGGGATCCCCTCCCTGTGAAGATGCTGGATGGTACAGGACAAAAAGGACATAAGCTGCCTACAATCAGATAGAACAGGGCTGAGAGCAGAGTGTATATTCGAGATTGAAGAGTTAATTGCTGTTACGATGCTTGCACAGTCAATTTACTTAATGAACTTTCGAAAAGACAGTTCTTGTGCCCACTGCAAGGCCTTGCGTAAACTACACACTGCAGCAATTTCAGCTACCACCATCTCCCGGCCCTTTACACGCCAAAGCTGCCAACACCTCACCAGAGGAGTCACTAGCTACTGCACCCATACCCGAAACACGACTTTGCGAGGACAGAGCGCCATCAAGGTTGATCTTTACATATTCTCTGGGGGAGACCACCTTGTACCATTTCGACACCGTGCGGGTCTCCCTCCTTCTCCTCTCAAAGCTGTAACTCGTCCATACGATGCTAGAGCATCCCTTAAATATAGGGATATAGATCAATGTTGACAAATCGGCCGGTACGAAACGTATTTGTCAATCTGACTTAAAACTGTTATATCAAACGGTCTCGTAGATGAAATAATTTATGTCCATTTTCATTGCTTATTTTCAATATATAAATATATTCACTAAATAATATTCTCAGTACTAAAATAATTATTATTTTTAATTTTTTAATTAAATATTTAATGATAATATTTATATTTATTTATAAAATTCTTAAAAAAATAAAAGATAAAATATTTTTATGATTAAATGATTAATTATAATAAATAGATAATAATAGAATTAAATTAGAAAAAAAATATAAATC